GGGGCGTGGAGGGATTTTATTTTTTACATGAAGGATTTTAGTTTTTGCTCGGTGACTTGTAAATACAAAATAGGATACACTGCCAAGGTCCATCAGTCTTGTTTTCTCGCAGTACCTTTCGAAGGTATTTTCAAATGAAGTATAGTCCAGGTGTACGTAGCCCCAACCACAACTGAAGTATCTGAATATTCAGACATTTAAAAATCTCTAGCTCTAGAAATTTAATTTGATGAAAAAAATGCTTCTTCTCAGTCCTCGTAGAAAGGCAGAAAAAAAAATGACGCCTAAATCTCGCAAATAACCAAAAAGTCTCGAGAACGGAAACCATTCAGAGAAATAGAGTTCAAGTTTATTTTTCCCGAACGTTCGGAGAAATAGTCACTTCATTTTTTTAAGGCAAGCGCTATTTGCAACGCCGCGTTCTGAATAGCTCCCGTGCTATTTGAAAAGTACTAGATCTGGATGTAGATGTAGTAGCCATCGTTTCTACATATGATAATATTGTAGTTCTGCCTGAATTGTGGAAGTTTTCTCAGTTTTTTAATAAACCTCCTAGGATTGGACTCCTTTTGTTATGACGTTGTCTTATTCCGATCAATATTGGGTAGATCTAGATCGAGATTAGATCTTACAATTGTTTCTGACATTGTTTGCGCAAAAGTAGAGACGTCTTGTTCATCTCTCATATTCATAATCATTTGAGTTAGAGTTTGAGCAAGTTTAAGTCGAAAGACGCTTGGACAATAACAAGACGGTGCAACTCGAACTTTAAGTCCGAATATGAACAAATGTTATTTGGACTCAGGTCCGGAAAAAAGGAATTGTGTTTTAGTTCTATAGATCTAACGTTCAATGCTTCCTATTTTCCGCCATTTTTTAGTTTCCCCCACACTTTATCTGCCGATCCAATGCCCGCCGCCTCATTGATACGCCCCCCATCCCCCCCATGTTTTCCACTTTCTTTGTTGTAGAAAAAGGTAAAATTGAAGATTAGCAGACCACCTGGCACCTGCATATTATGAGCTGTGTAAAAAAAAAAGACCGATTCGTTCAAATACACATGCCTGAGTCATCTCGATTGTTTACCAGGAAAAGGCTGTCTTGCTGTGTAAAGCACAGCATACGGCAACTTTTGATTCCATAGACCGGCGCACAATTCATTACGTAGATCTACGTCAAGATTAGCCTATTATTGTAATAATGATCAGTTGCCGGGGGAAAAAAGACTGACGCGCATGCGACGTTCAACGCCTGGACCGCTTGATCCCCTCTACCCAGCCTGAGGTGAGTCACGAGTGAGGCAGGACAGGAAGCCAGAGTCACGAGTCACAGGAAGTC